ATTCATATTCGAAGGTGCATCAATATCGGAACTATGTATGGCTGCGAATATTGAAGTTTGATGATTTATTTTGCTATCGATTTCAAAGTTATTCAGTTTGCGTTTGATTTAGTTTCGATTTTTAGGATGAAAGTGTCTGTTGACTCTATGATTCTTTTAACAATTTTACAACTTTTGACTCGTGGCAACATCAACTCCGGTTTTAATTTCCCTAGAAAAATGAAATTAAACAATTTCTTTTAAAATACGATTCATTTGAGTAAAGATTGAATGTACTATTTATTACCGTCATCGATGTCATGAGGTGTTTTATTTTATATTTCTTCCGCATTTTCAACTGCTCCATGATAAATCAAGAACCGTTTTATTTGTATAACGTTTTCTAAAAAAAAACACTAGTTAAATTTTATGCATTTGAAAGTAAAGAGTGCTCTATGGATTATTTATATTGAGAATATAAACAGTTATCTTAGCTGTTAATGTTTAATATTTCTGATTTTTAAATATATAGACAAATACCATATGGTAAATAAAGTTGAGATGCCCAGTAAAGTGGTGTGTGATTATCTTTGTCTCTAGAATTCACATCAGCTCCATGTTCGACAAGATATCTGACAATCTCCATGTTACCTGTAAAATGTACGAAGTTCTCATGAAACAACTTTTCTACTGAATGAATCCATTGAAAATTACCACTTGCAACAGCCATAAACAGAGTTGTATGGTTTTCGTCAGTTGTAGCATTTATATTTGCTCCATGTTCAACTAAATATTTGAAAATTTCAAATATGCCTGAAATGTTGTGCAGATTAATAATTAGCGGTCTGATCACGTTATTTCCATTTTCAAAACCTATATATATAGGCCATATAATCAATAATTACCACTTCGAGCAGCCTTATGGAGTGGCGTCCATTTACGATTATCTTCGGCATTTACGTTTGCACCATGAGTGATTAACAACTCAACCAATTTCAAATGTACTGAAATATTAAACAGAGAAACAGTTAGCTTAACTACTCTGATCATCTATCACGCTTGATATTTTCAGTTTCCGAACATATAGACAAATACCATATGGTAAATAATGTTGAGATGCCCAGTAAAGTGGTGTGTGATTATCTTTGTCTCTAGAATTAACATCAGCTCCGTGTTCGACAAGATATTTGGCCATCTCCACGTTACCTGTAGAATGTACAAAGTTCTTATGAAACAACTTTTCTTCTAAATTAATCGACTGAAAATTACCATTTTCAGCAGCCAAAGATAAAGTTGTACAGTTTTCGTCAGTTGTAGCATTCATATTTGCTCCATGTTCAACTAAATATTTAAACATATAATATGTGCCTGAAATTTTGTGATAAATAGTTAGCGTGTTATTTGTATCCGATCATGTAATTTCCATTTT